TAGACTATATAAACTTAATATGCATAATGTCATGAGATATATATATATATATATATATATATATATATATAGAATGTGCTATTGGCCTAAACATGTAAAGGTGATGTTATACCAATTTATTTTATTGGTACATAGCTTGTTACTTGAATGATCTCAACAATAATACCATTGAGAAAATTAATTTTTATTGAAAAATACATTTCCTTTAGCTTTTATTGACTGACATCAACAGTTCAAGACATTAAGTTGCTGCATATCTTTATTGTAACTTATAAGGAAACAACCTTAAAATAACTGTGATTACTGTTGACCAGCATAGTACATTCACTGATGCTTTTTATTAAATATTTTTCTTTGTTTACTGTTTCTCCAAATTATCAATGGTTTGGTGAAATCATATTTTTTAATGTCCTCTCCTTCTAAAATGATTTTCATAAATTGGTTAGAGTGAGTAGGTGAGAACCTGTTTCTAAGAGCAGTGACAAGTATATTATGAATACTGAAAGTTCTTTCACAGTCTGCTGTGTGGTCAGGGGCTGTCAGGGCAAGACATGCAAGGAACTTCAAGTTGGGGATATCACATGCATGGTGTTGAACAATTAGTTGCCACAGACTCTCCATTTTGTCCCTGGGGTACATTTTTGCTTTTACAACAGCTTTGAGAGTTCTCCATTCTCTCCTGGCTTCATGTGGATCAATTGATGCTGTAGATGTTGCTTCAAGATATGTACTATCTTTTGACTTGTACTTGTGAGTTTTGGATGATCCTTTGTGTATTAACAGAGTCTCTAACTTGCCAATTCCCAAAGCTTTGAGTTTATTGTCTGACAACAGAGTTACAGGACAAAGGCCAAATATCCCAAAGGATGTCAACAAATCCTTGTCTGGAAACCTGAAAAAAATTTACAGAGAGTGAATTAGGGTTGAAGTACAAATCATAAAATGGATACATTTTGTGGAAAAAATAGTTGGCTTGTTAAAACAGATCATGCATGCCTTTTCTGGATATTGTCTATCAGAGAAAAAATGAACTTCTTTTTGATTGACTTTAGAATTTCTTCAGATGTGTAAGCTATCTTGTGACCTTTGAGCCCATCCATCAAATCCTGTACCATTTGGGTTAGAAAACATCCATCAGTGTTGATCTGTTGCTGTAAGTCTGTGACACACTGATCCACAGTCACCTACGATTGAAATGTGAAGATTTTATTAGGCACCTCACAAATCATCAAGACAATGTGATATGTCAGGTAATGAAATGAATCATGCAGATGAAATATATTCATTATTCATACAGCCAATCATCATGTTGTAATTATCCAAACAAGTGCAATATTCAAATTTTGTTTCTGGAAAGCAAGGCTGAGAGTTGTAACCACTGGCATAAGATCCATCATCATCATGCAAGTTATATATAGGAACTGTTTGGAAGTAATCTTTTTGTGGGGTCCCACAGTTTTGGGATCTTTCTTTGAGTCTGCATAATCAAATTACGTCAACATAGAGTCAAGACATTGGTAAATTGTGGTTAGTGCTGAATAGAAGCTAAATCATTGACATTTTGATATCAGTTTTAATGTTTTTGGTTGTGCTAATGCTACATTTCTTCTACGAAACTCTTATTGTAAGTGTGGAGGAGGACAGTTTTTCCTGTGTTAACCCTTTTATCACCTTGAATATTTGCCTGCAGATCCTTCTGAGAATGTAAAATAGAGAATCCCTTCCCTTCATAGTGTTTAACTTTCCTGCTCCAAATATCTTTGACTTTATCAAATTGTTGTTGTTTTGTTGAACAGTTGCTCTGAATTTAATTATTTTAAACAACATTTCATAAAGATTGGGTTTAGTATTTGATTGCTCTTGAACAGGTCAGAAGGCTTGTGCCTCTGGTTGTCTGTTTGGAATTTTAAGATATTGTTTCGGGGTGGGGGCTATACTAATCAAATGCAATCGATAAATGAGCGCATCAGTTAAGTGATTAGCAAATACTACTAATCACCCAGTTCTTCCTACCCTAATTGCTTTATGATTCATCAGAATAAAACACTGAATAATTAAGTGCAAAGTATTACAATGTACATCTCTATAATTTTTTATTAATTTCTAAATATTAATGATCAATTAGCACACTAATTGATGAACTATTCTGAGATGTATATCAATATAAACTATATTTCATGTGCCATATGAGTAACTACATCTTGAAATAAGATGGTTTTAGTATAGAAATATGTGATATTTATTTATTTGATTTATCAGTGAAAATCATGCAAAAATCACAAGGATAAGAAAATATGATATTGTTCTGGTTTCAAATATTTGTTTTATGTGACTTACAATAATGCCTTCTAAGAAGTTATCTTTCACCGCTATTATTTGAGAACAAAAACAGTGTTTAGAGTTTCTTTCTTCAGTAACTAATTTAACTTTACAACAATGTGTACTTTCAGCTAGTGTACAGGAATCTTTAGAACGAAGGTTTGGACGAAGTGGGGGAAGAATTCCAGTTATACCCAGTGAATCATTCCAGAAACGTATTGCTGTAAGTTGATTATTCCTTTTTCCCATGAAATTTTGTACTTGAAGTATTCATGCTGGCTTTTACAAACCATTTAAAGACTTTAGAGTGTGCCAGAATGTGACAATCTAATAACGAAGTAGTTATTAGAAAACTGGATAGATAAATATAAACTGTTTACCCATGTAAGTAATATACTATTATTTACAAATATTGAAAGTCAACAGACAAGTAATGTGAACATTTAAACAGCCATCATTTAAATAAAATCTGTCATTTGAGCTTCATGTTAATTGTGTATGTACATTTAAATCATGTGTTGCTCATGTTTTCCTTTTAATCCTTTGGCTGACCATAGTAAACAAACATACGGTCTGAAGCCCAACTTTTACCAGCTCTGGAGTTCCTATTAAATGACTGACATATCTCAGGAAACTTTGTTAGGATTTATTGCATCATAATAAAATTGAAACTACAAGGCAGTGTCATTTGACTGAGTTTGATATAAATGGTACCAATTTCTCATTATCAGTTTTTTATGCTAGATGAAGACTATGGCAAAGTCAAGACCAATTTGGGGTAATTTTGGCAAAGCTGAAATTTTTAACTGTCTAATAAAATTAGACACTTTTTTTATGTAGTTAAAGAAACAAGGAACCCACAGTTATAAAAATTTATAGCAAGAATAACATTAGTTATCACAATTCTGTAGAAATCATTGCAAAAAACCCATAACAATGTGTTAAAACCAAAAGAGGAGGCAGGTTTATTTAAACAAACAACACAGGGTCTCAGATTACTAAATGGGAAAGTTTAGCAAAGTGAACTTTGTCAATTTGTAAAGTGATTGTATTTTCTTTAAATTACCACAGATAACCTATTTGAAACATCCATGATGTTAATGCTACTGATTTATTCTGTGACACTATTTCAGCTGGCATACTGTTTGAAAGAATCTGGTTTTTTAGCACAAAATTTGTTCAATTTTGACAAAAAAAAACAAATAAGAAATTTAATTTATTTTTGTACTTGATGAATATCACTATGATATAATGGACTTACGGAATTTCATCCCATTGTCTTTGTTGATGGCAAATAAAATCTAATGATAGACCGGACTTGTCATTTCTTTTTCATTTGACAGAATTCAGAATCTTCATGAATATAAAACAATAGGGAGTCCTCAATAACTGTGGCACTTAAAATTCTTTTAGGCAGGATTAGAGTAAATTAATCTATGAGGCTTTGTTTCCCTTTTTATTAGCTATATTTTTGTACATCAGCAATATCAAGTGTGGGGCGCATGTATACCCAATTCAATATTATTACTCTTCAGGATCTCTACCAGCCTCAAATTGAAATTCTTTTAGGCAGGATTAGAATAAATTAATCTATGAAACCTTGGGTGTGGTCAAATACAACATTCAAAAGGATTTGACCTCCTGAGTCTAAAACTGTAATTAGATCTCAAATCAGTCAAGAGATGATGGAGCTATGAGCTAAAAGTGTGTTCTTGAAAAAAAAAACTTGGAGACTTTCTATGAGCTGCTATGCCACGACTAAAAATTATAATGAAGGTTTTTACTCAATGACTTGCATACATATAGAGTCAAATGACCTTCATGCATGTATTTTTATGCATTTTAGTTATTCTCATTATTCGTATTGTTTCACAAGATAAGTGTTTATAAACACCTTTAGGAAATTAACCTAATGCACTACATTTCTGGCATTTCTATTCCTTGCTGAAATTCTTTCATCATAACTCAGTTTGATCACTGTGATAAAATTACATTCTCTCTCTGTCAGTAATCTGCTAGTTAATGTTAGTTGATGGCATTGTTTTATTTTATCAGTAATGTTTGTCTGCTAATAATGATTATAGATTTATTTAATTTTCAATGGATCTAATTTGTCATTATTGCATAAACTTTGCAATAATAAAGAAATATGATTTACTGACTTGTAGATTTTTCTATTAATGAGCTTTTTAAGAAATTCATGTATAATAAATATGGTGAAAGAAATGTTTAAATAAAGTCTCTATTGCTATTTTTCATTATAATGACTGCTACCTCACCATTTCAACAAAATAAAATACAATTATTCTTCATCCTTTAAAACAATTAAACATTTTAACCCCATTTTAAAGTATGAACACTTTTGTGACAAAATGCAATCAGTAAGCTTGAGAAATTGTATCTCTCAAGAGAGAGAAAAAAGTAAATACAGTTCTATATATTTCTTTAATAAAGAACATTTCGTAGGAAGATAGACTTGATATACCATCATGCCCAATTTGTTTTTTTGCATTTCTGTAAAACTCTTTGATATGCAGATTGATCCACTTTTTTTTTAAAGTTTACTGTACAAGATACTTGTATCTCTTTGGTGATGTTAGCCTGAGATGGTCACAAGGGAAGGATTAAAATGTTCATATTCTTTCCTTATTGTACACTATATATGGTCAGGAATATTTGGAAAATTATGGATGTTTCTTAAGATTACAAACTTAAAAATGTATAATATGGAATGTTTGTAGTATTAAAAGTCTAAACGTCAAAACTAATAGACGGTTTGTGCATAATGTTACTCAGTTTAATTTTGTGTGTGTGTGTGTAGTGTTAGAATCATATTGTCGTAATATCTTTCAACAGAAAAGATAAAAATAATGCTGAGTTTGATTTTAGAAAATATTTTCTTTTGTATATGTAATCAAACATTTATGAAGTATGCGAGACTAATTTTTTTTAAAAAAAAGAAAAAAGGAGAGATATTCAAATAAGTGGTCACATTGAAATTAACACTTTTAGATCACCGGATCCTATTTTTTTTTATATTTAAATTATTTTTGGTTATATGTTAGGGTGCATCAGAAAAGGACATTGTACACTCTGGTCTAGATTACACCATGGAGAGGTCAGCTAGGGTAAGTTTGTCAAAGAACTTTTCAATTCAGTTATTCTTTGTGCATGTTATACATTTTATATGTACTGACTTACTAAGTAAATTAAATGCATTCTCCACATCAGAAGGCAACATATTCCAAAGGTAAAGCACCCTGTTAGAAAAATAAAGCTGTCTTAGCTGAAGATGGCTTCTTCCCTGTCAAAATTTATATTTGTGTCCACTGATCTTACCATTAAATATGAAAAAAGATGATGCATTACATAACTATTCTTTAGGTACTAGAGGATGAGAGGTGATGAAATATCTCTTAATTGTTCAGTCACTTGTCATAGGCTTGTGGTCACCCTTTTAAGTAAAATAATAAATTGTAAAGTGGTTATGATTCAATGACACATAAGCACATTAATCATCCAGCATGTATGTACACTGGATACTAATAAAAAGGCATCTGTAACTACAAGAAAAAAAGGCATAGCTACTGATGCCTCCAGTGGATATCCATGTGCAAGGGGTATATCATTCAGATTATTTTTGAATTTAAGGAATTTGTTTATATTCATACAGGCTACATTACAGACCAAACATTTCTCATCTATAGGATATGTAAAAAGTTTCAATTTTTAGGAGGGTGGCATTTTAGATAAATCTGGAGCAACTAAAGGTTGTTTGTCTTGAGATAATATATATTTGCATAAATCTGTATTATCATGTATCAGAAATGCTCATCTAGATCTGTAAGGCAAACACCAATAATAGCATAAGTAATGTTGAGATTAGGACAAATGTTCCAGAATATTCCTCATGGTGTACAAGCTTCATGCTTGAGGGACTGGCTTCTTCAGTTTAATCAGTGACTATAAGGGTTCACAGGAATTATGAAAGTATCAAACCTAATCAAATTATTTCAAATCTGTTCAATATATATAAATAAAATATGAAATTCACATCATTATGGAAACTTTTAACAAATATTAAACTGAAAGGCACTTTATTTTGTTACTTAATAGACTTTTAATCTTGACTCAGTTTGCCTTGTCATTAGATTGCATATAGAGCACAGTTTTAATGAATATTTGTATTATTATGTGTATTCATTACTCACATGTTCTTTCCTGCCAGAGAGTTGCAATAATGGCAATGCAATGATTAACCAAATGGCAAACAGTCAACAGTCTAGAAACTGTGAAAACCCTACATTTAGGCCCAAATTGGGTAAATTAACAAATGTTTGCATACCATGAATGAAAGAAGGCTGTGTCTGTTGGCTTTTATAGCTATTTTCTTAATTTTATGCTGGTATATCAAATATTGTTGCATCAATACATCTACACTTGTACATGCACATTTGGCCTCCTTGGAGGCTCAGCAGTAAACTTGAGGGTTTATAACATTAAAAGTGTGTGTTTGATAACCAACGTGGTCACAACACAAATAGACAATTGTTTAGCTTCATACTTAATAACAAACAAAATATTCACATTTGTTTACATCAGTAAAATAACTTGCCTCTTCAGTACCTTCCTGGAGGATTTGTAGACAACTATAAATTCTATAAATAAGTGTAATTGTGCAAAGCATTAGCCAATTTCTGTAAATGTTTACATTAAGAAAACATCATATCATGTACCCATCATTCATTTCTGTAGTGAAGAATACCATTGTTCCAGAAGTAATGATTTTGTTAAGAATCTGTATACACTTAATTTGCATGTGTGCTATTTATAGTTTTTAAACCCGTGTGGTACTGTTATTGTAATTTTTGTATATAGTTCACCAAAAAAAAAGCATCCAGTGACCAACCATAACTTTATACAAAGAAGTGTAATACTTGTGTATATTTCATGTTACCTCATCATACATTTGAATGGCCACTTCAAAAATTAATTACACTATCAGAAGATCAATACTTTAAGGACATATTTCTCAATTATGTAAATAATTTCTTATTAGTTTAATTTAAAAAAGAATGCTTCTACTGTTTAAAGATTATTAAAAAAATTCAAAAAGGGGGTACATTTCAAGCAAATAATACAAGAATAATTTTAAAAATGTAAAATGAAGACCTTAATTTTTTTTTTTATTTGTGAATCTCCTAAATAAAGTTTTATACATAATATAGCCAGCATCCAGTGAAAATTCTTTAGTTCCTCAATGTTTCACCATATGGCTTTATAAAGAGGTAGCACCCTACTGAACACAAGCAAGTTTTAACAGAACAAAACAGCTGATGTAATTTAAAATAGCAACAATACATTCTTCCATATTGTCTGACATGTAATCACATTATCAACAATGAAAAGGTAACAATGATAAATGTATGATAAGAATATAATCATGGTGAAAAACATAATCACTTAAAAATCAGAAATAAGATGACTCATGTGAACGTTCGAGTCTAATAAATATGTATATGTAAACAGTCAACATTCATCTATTTTATTTTTTGTAATATACAATATTACTAAAGAAATAAAGTAGGTGTCCATATATAGATATATATAAATTCACCATTTAGCCCTATTAGAGCAATGTACGTTGATTATAAGTAGGTACATAACTCTTGTGAAACGTCTTTCCAAAAACCAAACTAGTGGATGAAATTGTTTGAAATATGAGAAAAACTTTCCTAAAAGTATGTAGTTTCATAAAAATAAAATATTTAATTTTTATTTTTTTTGTACTATTTCTAATAAAAAAATTTTATTTAATGTAGTTATTTGCACTCTGACTGAATATTTCATTTGCAAGGTGATTTTTATATTAAGTATAAAAATACTCTTTTTTTTATCTTACAATTTTCACATTTCATTTGCATAATCTCTAACCTTCTAAATGAATATCAAACGTTTTTTAAGGTAAATGTTTATATTTTATTTTCCATTTTCTCTACCATATCACTAACTCTAGCAATTATCAATGTGCAGTGCAATGAAATGTTTAAAATTAAGAAATAGAAATATCTACATACCTTTTAACTCTGCTGAATAATCTTTAAATGTCTTCTTTGGGTTATATGCGTATCTTCACGTCTTTACCTTTGGACGTATAGTTTATTTTTAATGTTTTATTTTCCTTTCCCGTTCTTTACCTTTAACTATTTATGTCAGCACATGTCAAAAGTGTCATGGGCAATATAAAATTATCATCAGCATAGAAAGTTTCGCTTCTGGCAAAATACTTTGCCTCATCTAGTTAGGAAAGACTTGTTTAGTGAGGCGAAGCTTAGAATAGTATTAAAAATCATTAAACCTTTCAAATATGAATTTTAAAACACAAATACATAATTAACTAAAATGTAAAAATAAGACCTAAATACAATTTAACTGTCTCTCTAACTATAGCATGTTTAGATAAGAAACCACCATAAGTACTATCGTGGATCAATCAACCAACAATAGTATTTGTTGCCAACTGCATGCCAATTTCAAAATAACCATTGGTAGATTATAGTGTAAAATGAGCTCTTTCTAACAATTATATATATACTTGTGTCAAGTAACAACATGTACATTGCAAATCTCAAGGCAAAGTATAGAAGCAAGGCAAAATTTATTACTTGTCAATAGGGCAAAAATATGTATATTACTGTCTAGACATACATGTTCAAGACTAGGATTATTTGAGTCGAGATAGAGACTTAACCCTCTTGCTACTACACTAACCTTGTGACCCCAAAGTGACTCAGTGCTTCCATACTATAACTTTTAACATATTTGTATATCTTCATGAAATTTTTCAAGCTTTTAGTAAACATTTCAAGTCGTTTGTAGAAAAAAAAATCAGAGTTTTTTTTATTAAATACTTTTACTAAACATTTGTTCGTGGATATATGGAGTCAGAGTGCAAAGTGATTTTCAAATTAAGATTTTTCAATTAAAGAACTTCCTAAATAAATATCAGATGTTTTTCACTAAAACTATATTTTATATCTTATTTTCTCTACCCTAACTCTATATGTATTTGGTCAATTTGATCAAACTCATAACCACAATAAAAAATGTAAAATATAATGAGGAGTACTATTCTATTTTTTTAGCATTGATCACAAAATTCCAGGATACTTCTTCTGAGAGTTTCTACTTCTCACCTTTTCATATCTATTTCCTATGTTTATTCTGTTGTTAGCAACTGAAGTAGAAACCATTCAAAGATAAAGCAAGGAATCACTGCTCCTCCCATTAGACTGTTTACATCACACAGTAATATGACACTGTTTTCACCATTCATGACAAACAAAGGGAAAAAAAACAGGAATTAGGAAGAAAATGTTGCATTTCAAGTACATTTATTAGTCCTAAAGTTAATAATATCAACAAAGCTGTTAGAGAATTGGGTTTGCCTATATGTGTGACAGATTAGCCTGAATGTTTGGCTAAATAACATTTTGTTCACTCAGCATTTAAACACCATGCTCATTGTCAGACGAACAACTGTATTTCAAGTAACCTAGAATTTTTGAAGAAGAATTATATGGAGAAAGATGTAGTTTACAGTATCTCTTGTAGTACTTGTAACAAAAAATCTTTTGGAGAAACTGAGAGACTCGTAAAAGAGCATTGTGTGGAACGTTTCACTGCTACTATGATGAGTAAGGTTGATAGACATGCAGTTACAGTACATTTTATTAATAAACATAGTAATAAAATAGAAAATGCCAAAATTTCCTAGACAGGAAGTACAAGGAGTCCATTCTCATCAGATCTAAGAAGACTTCAACCAACAAGAATATAGGGTTACCACTTTAAATGGTGGATTTTTGGATGTGTATATATGAATGTTTTAACGATTTCTACTTTATTTCTTTTGTAAAAATGTATATATGTGATTTTAACTACATATACTGTTTACACGAGTCATCTTTTGATTTTGAATTATATTTTTTCTCCATGATTATGTTCTTGTTGTACATTTACTGTTGTTACCTTTTCATTGTTGATAATGTGATTACATGTCAGACAATACAGAAGAATACATTGTTGTTATTTTAAGTTACATTAGCTGTTTTGTTCAGTTAAGACTGGCTTGTGTTCAGTAGGGTGTCTAACTCTTGATAAAATCATAAGGTGAAAAGTTGAGGAATTAAAGAATTTTCATGGGATACTGGCTGTTTCTTTTCGTAAAACATGTTTACATTCCAGTATGCACTACACTTCATTAATTCTGCTGGATTTTCACATTATATATATATATATATAATATTTTAATTAAATATACTGTAAACCTAAAACATTTGTGAAAATTTTACAATCTAGGAACTTAAGTGATGAAGTTAGTTGCAAATACAAATTATAAGTATAATATTTTTAAAAAAGGATTAATTGTTGCAAACATGTATGCTAAATATCTTTTAAAAATTGGCTAACTCTAAAATAATGGAATGTAGGTCTTTACCTCATAACATCTTAATAGTACTAATTTATGTATTCCAAGTGGAATTTCCCACTTTGGCTTAAGTTTGGTTTTTTCTTCTTCAGAAAACCACGTTTATTAGAGTTGGTCACTTTTGTTTATAATTGGTGCATTTATTATCCAAATAAAATTCAAGTAAAATATTAATTAAATGTCCTGAAAGATATATTTCTGTGTAATTTGCAGGCAATTATGAGAACAGCAATGAAGTACAACTTGGGTTTGGACTTACGTACAGCAGCATATGTTAATTCTATTGAGAAAATCTATTCGACTTATGTGGCTGCAGGACTTACTTTTACCTAAATTTATTTGTTGTATTGACTTCTAATTTGTTGTGTATTTGTAATATTCAAGAAAACGTATATCAGATGATGAAGATATCTTTGTGATTTAGAAATCTGAAAGAATATTTTAGGTTGATTATTGACACTTCTTTAACTTTTATGAAATTAAGTGCAAGTAAAACATGATAATTATGTCTAGTTCAAAGTGTAAATCTGTATTCGTAAGTATGTCACACAAATGTAATGTAATAAAAAATTCCAAATTAATAGGGTTTTTTTAAGTCAATAAAAATAAGATTTTAAATTTTTATTTTTTTATTTGTGAATGTTTTTTCTGACTTTACAGATATAAAAATTATTAAATAGTTATTTCTGTGATGTAGATTTTATGGTAAATGAACATTCTGTTATTTTAGATACTAGCGTACAACTAAAAGTGCACTATTTTGTCATAGAACATTGAACTGCAATACAGTTCATAGTGGTTTATAACAGTTTAAGAAAGATAAACTTAATAAAAATAACATACAACAAAATGCATTAATTGGTAAAATAAACAATACCTTAATAAACTTATTTTTTCCAAGTTTGTTGGAATTTACTATACAATATATTTTACATGAAAAAACAAAAATTGTAAATGATGCATTTGTAGCTGTTTTCTGTTTCCTTACTATTTAATACAGATTTTTCAATTTAAAATGATAATGTGTAGAAGAAGCAGAGTTTTGGTTTTAATAGACTGCTCTTGCCTATTGTTGCAGAACCAGTTGTTTTAGTTCCTAAAACATTTCTGTGTGGATTTTTGCAAATTGAACAGGTCCATTGTAAAAGATGTGCAACTATTACCTAGTATCCAGGAGACACTAAGTAGGTTAAAGGAAAGTAAATATTTCTTATCTGTGGCTTGCAAAGTGGTTATTGGCAAGTAGAGATTAAGGAAAAGGAGGTTTTCTTCCCACCATCTGGTAAATATAAGTTTAACCACATGTCACTTGGATTATGCAATGCACTATCTTCATGACAAAGACTAATGGATGTAGTATTTTCTAAACAATAGCATTCCAAGTGCTTTGGTTATGTTAGTGATGCAATAGTTTTGTGAGTAACTTTGAGGAACACTTAGAATGCCTCTGCCATATTTTTAATAGGTTGCATAAAGCAAGTTTGAAGTTAAAATCTTCAAAATGTCGATGGAAGTTGACTAGATAGACCACATGGTAACCATGAATGGTGTAAAACCTAATCTGAAGAAACTTGAAATTAGAAAAAAGTATTCAGCCCTCAAAAATCTTAAGGTTATTAGGGAATTTCTGGTATTTATACATTTTTACCAAAGACTCATCTCACACTTTGCATTTCTAGCTAAATTCCTAACCAAGTGAACAAAAATGGATGTAGAATTTAAGTGAACTGAAGAAAGACTTATAATTTGAGAAATAACGAGAATCTATGTTAAAAGCACCTATACTGAGTTACATAGATTTTAACAAGAAATTCATATTAAGTACAGATGTATCAGAAAATGCCATAATTTATTATAGTAGACAACTGAGTAAGGCAGAAAAGGATTACCCAATAATAGAATAAGGGTGTTTAGGAGTAGTACAGAGCAAAAAAGTTTTAGATGTTACTTGTATGGTTTGAAAATTCACCATAATTATGGACCATGTCTCATTAAAAAAGGTTAAAAGAACTATCATCTAGGTTGGCACAGTGGCCTTTACTGTTACAAGATTATGATTTTAGTGTTGTACATGTGCCAGGTAGGAATCATTCTATTGCAGATGCTTTAAGTAGAATAAGACAGGAAAGACAAATGGTTTGATAAAATAAAAGAAGTAAAGAGAGAATGGCTTTATATTTTGCAATATCATAACATAAACAAGGTAACCAGTTTTGAACAACTGAGTGGTAGATACAAAGAACTTAGTAGTGAGCTGTCGCTGCTGATACTTCTGCTCTAGGAAAATAATGGATCTGAGATTTTTCTGGCTACCAACTTGGTAAAGTGTAGCAGGCTGCTTGTGCTAGAAGGTTAGGTTGTCAGTTGAGCTCTCTAAGGGCTGACGAGCAATTGGTATGTGCCTATAAAGATACAAAAATAAGATATGGAGTTCCTGATTGGTACAGGAGCTGCCAGGACAGTGGTTTATCTCATCGTGTATCAAGTCACTTTTCTGGCCAGTCAACACTGATTTCATTCTGGTGAATGGTGATAGACTAGATGTGACTGAGATACAGCAGTGAACACTGCTGTAAGCATGTGGATTATGTCAACAAGTTGTGACCATAGATTATTGACGAACCCTTCATGCATAGACGTGACCATGAATTAGAAGTTCAGACTGACAAGTCAGAGGATGATACTACTGTTTTATATCATCAGTTGATGAGGAGGGACATGTTGTGCAAGATAAGTCATATGAGTACAAGCCTAAATAAGAGGACTAGATAGCTCTGTTGGTTGGCCAAGATGTCAGTGGTGACCTCCTTATCACTGTGGCTGTGACTAACTGCTAGATCAGCAGTTAGAACAGTAATTGATTGGGAGATCAATGACTAGAAGGAAGTGGCATTCCTTACTTTCCGAGTTATTGACCAATTTCACTAAGAGATATCTACAGGATATCATATCATAGCTGCTCAGTTATGACATAGTTAGGAAGCTGAGGTCAGTGGATGTAAGCACTAGAATATCAGTTTGCATGATTGAAGATTATCACAGAATTCAAAACCTCAGCTGAAATAGCTATTGAGCGATTTTCTGTGGCCGAGTAGCAGAAATTTTATTAAACGGACTGTGTGATACTTGCTAGACTCTCCAAAGTTCTTAAGTGTGTATGGCTCCTTTATGTGCAGTGATATTTCTTAGCACAGAATATAAGTCCGATTGTTGTGAATCTCAATGGAAAAAAAAATCTTTGTTTCACTGGATTTGCCTGTATTGTCTTTTCTGTGATGTAAATTGAAGTGAGTGGATTGACTCTCGTCTGGCGATACAGAATTATGATGATTTGGCTAGCAATGTTGGTGGCCATTTAGGATAGTGACTGTATTTAGCCTAAGTTGGTTCGAATGTTTATTTACATGTACTGTAATGGCAACAGGAATATTAATCTTGGCTGCACAAATTTTATCTGAAAAGTCGTAGTTCAGCAGAATTCTGTTCGTGATTACCAATGCATATTTCATGAACCCCCAAAAATATGTTGAGAATGGCTCATAGATGATAGCATGCTATGTTGCCCTAGCTATTGAGACATAGTTAGTCAAAATTGTCTGTTTAAGTTACCATGATAATAGCACACGAGCCAGAGGCAATATGTCTACAGCTATTAGTGTATATGATGACGTGTGATATGGAGATGTATATATATATATATATATATATATATATTTGTGTGTGTTACGTATGTGCTTGTTACGACAGTAGAAGTCAAGCGAACAGTAGGCTCCGTAAGTAAAGTGTGTGAATCACTGTGATTTATAGCGTGTGTTATGAAGGTTGTTAAGTTTAAAGTGACTGTGGAAATTCTGTGTATTACAAAGTTGTATCGAGAAAGAATAAACTAGTTTTAATTAAGAAAGGACTTGTATCGCTGATGTTCCTCGGAAAGAATTTATACCGGAAATTAACAAACACTGCCCATTCCTTAGTATTGTTCGTCCCGAACAATAGCCACTTACATTAAACCAATAGCTAATTAACAATAACTTGATTAAATGTATAGAATTTACAAACACAAAATTAAAATACAACAAAATCTCTTAATTTTACAGGACGTATCTTCTTCCGTATTGGTTTCTGTCTCGTTGGCTTCTGCTTCACGTGTGGTTCATCTGCTCCATCAGGAAATGTCCCATTAACAGTCACATCAGTGGTAGTAACTTCATTAACGGTTACACTGTTTTCCTTCTCAAAACCGGGTAGAGTTTCTTCCTCGACAGTGGCTTTTTTTAGGTAACACGTCTTCAGCAGCATCATTTGTTCCGTTGTTCACTTCGTTCCAACTGAAATGTCCTGGACTGTGATAACGCCAAAGCCTTTTAACATGTACCATTTTTTGGTTTACCTCGCAGACCACATTTTATTCGGAAAGTCACGTCTGAGAGACGATCCACTATGTCATATGGGCCTTCCCATGGAGAAGACAACTTAGGAGACTTCCTTTTGGTCTTTCTTGGATTATACAACCACACCTTGTCTCTTGGTACAAAGCTGACTTCAGTAGATTTCTTATCATAACATAGCTTCATGGAATCAGCAGCGACGTTTTCAAGTTTGAACGCACTTGATGGTGAATATCACCCATCCTTTCAGATAACACTTTCACGAATCTGGCACATTTTCAGGCAACTCTTCGTAAGGTGGGCGTCCTGTTTTCAGGTCCACTGGCAACTGAAGTTCCCGACCAAACATCAGCTTTGCTGGAGTGTATCCAGTGGCTTAATGCTCTGCTGTTCTATAGGTCATCAACAGTGGAGGAAGTAAGACATCACAGTCATCTTGGCGGCTATTACATAACTTTGCCAATTCCAGTCCCAATGTCCAATTGGACTTTTCTACCATCCCA